GAGAGAGAGAGAGAGAGGACATGTCATTGGAAATCTTGAGACACATGGCATAAGTATCCCAAGATTCAGGCAAACATTCCAGAAACTTAGTTAAAGTTTCAGAAATATTCCCTGCCTACAGTTCTTAAATCCATAAGAAGACAATAAAAACGTTGATGTACTTCAGACAATGTTTCAGTCTTTCACAGAGAAAGCTTTCATATTGTCTTACTAAAATAATCTTCCTTGATTCTTAAACCTGAGAAGTTTCTTCATATTAAACACATAAAGTGTCCCACATGGCTTTCGAGGTTTTGAGTTTCATAACAAAATGATAAACCTCATCACGAAGAGACATAACTATTATAGACCTAGCACGAGTATCTTTAGTTATCTTCCTCTTATTTTTTTTTTCTTATCTTCATCGCTCCATTGATGAGGGAGCTTTGGAATTTGTCGTTCAGGAATCGCGGCAGTCGTAGCTGTTTCATGAACGGCCGAAGAAATAACATATGGAATATATGGTCCATATGCTATTTCGTGTGGAATTTCAGGATCCACACCTTCCAGAAAGAGGGTGTTGGTCCCGTAAGGGTCTACAAGAAGAGAAACAGTTTGTAGAAGGGGGGGATGAATACAAACACAATATTTTCAAATTTAAAATGTATATTGATAGAGAAGATCAATACAGATTTTACAAGATTGTTTGCGGAAAGATAAGGTAATAAAAACCTATCTAAACAATCTTTGGTTACACACAAAGCTTTAGCAATTGCAAGAAAAGAAGTTGTTAAAAGAAAGATCTTTTACTTAAGCTAGAAGATGCTTGAAGTAAGAATAAAGTTAGAGAGAGATGCGCGCTCTCTGCATGGAGAATAAACACTTCTATTTATACCCAGTGCATTAAATGTCCATTTAATGCAATATGGTAAGTTTAGAGTGCGTGTCAAACCTTAAGCGGAAGGCTTGTCCTTTGCTACAGTGAATAGTACAAAAGCACTATTTCTGAGTAGACATCCTTACCTAAAGTTGGTGGACAAAGAGTCGACTAATCGGCTCCGTACCGTACTAACTTTTGTAAGGGTATGGGCTTTGTCCTTTGTGTGCATAAGGACAAGAAAACAACAATCGTGCTAAGCAAGCTTCCTTTGATTGCTGAATGCTGGAATGACCTGAAGGTCTCATCATCATTCGCTGAAGCTAGAGCAGTCTTCACACATATGTAGACAAGCTTGTAATCACTGAATACC